CCCCCGGAGTTTCTCCACGCAAATCAGGGCGCGCTGGCTGCGGGTCCCGCTCCAGGTGGAGCCACACCGTCCCCTGTTACAAACAGAAATAATTACCGCCTCACGGGCGCGCTCCTTTCTTCTCCCCCCTCCCAGGAGAAGCAGCAATGTAATCTGTTAGACGCCAGCGTTGCGTCCTGATGCCATCGTGGGAGCTGCGCTGCGCAGCGAGGCACCGAGCGACAACTTTCTTGGCCGTCATAACTTGCTTGTGCCTTCTCCTTCGACAAGGCTCCTCTCTACTACACTGTTGGGTAGCCTTCTTCTGGGCTCTGAGGACAGTACGTGACCTGTGTAAAAATGCTGCGATATTGGGGTGAGATTCCGGTTTCATCTAGCCAGGCCAACCGCAGCTCCTTTGACCTGCTTCAGCGTGAGTTTCGTACTGTGGAAGTCCAAGATCCTCCATTGCATCAGCCATCTGCCAACAAGCCCCGGCCGACCACCATGCTGGACATCCCCTCGGAGCCCTGCAGCCTCACAATTCACACCATTCAGCTCATCCAGCACAACAGGCGACTGCGCAGCCTGATCGCCATGGCTCAGGCTCAAAACCAGCAGCAAGCGGAGGGCATAAAAACCGAAGACAATGAACCTCTGCCATCTTGTCCGGCCTCTCCACCTCTCCCTGATGACCTGCTTCCTCTGGATAGCAAAACCCCCAAAATGCCATTTCAGCTGAGGCACAGTGACCCAGAGAGTGATTTCTACAGGTGTGTTGGTATTTCTTTGGGTTAGTTCTTGGCTGAAGGAAAGCTGAGTGGTTTTAAATATGTACGTAGTTATGTCGATTCCCTGAGGCTGAAGGGTTTTATGCGTAAAGTATAAAACAGGCTTTGAAAAGGAAAGATTTAGATTTCTCCCACGTGGATAACATGCACATTGTTTAAAATAAATGTGCTTTTGTTTCCTGTCTGTAAAATGTGAATGTGTAGTGCTGATTTCTGTCTTGTTAGTGCTACGCTGAATGTTTGTGAATGGTTTTGCTATCTTCAATGGTATTTTGACAAGTTTAGTTACAGGATCTGAAGTCTTCTCACAACTAAACTTGCCTTACTATAACTGAAAATCCGGAAGACGCATGACTAGGCTTTTGCTGTTTAGTTGTAAGTTCTGAAAAGATGATTTGATAACATTTTTGTAAGGTTTCAGTGGCCGAGGACCTGTGACATAGTAACTATTACATTTCACCCTCTTTGTTGGTGTTATTCTGGTCAGAGGTGGTGATGAGTATGGGTGAAGGGAATTCTTCTTTCTGATACTGGCTCCACCAGCCAAGAGCTGGAGAAAATTTAAAGGAAGGTTGCTTTGCTTCTACCTCTGCAGCCAATCTTTGGTTAAATAGTATTGCCACCACCTCCCTGTCTACCTCTCTGACACGCACTAAATTCACAAGGAGGTGTTGCATTTCTTGCAGAATCTCACGATACTTTGTAGGTTATGTGCATTTACATTCAGGGATTAATCCTCACTACTATAGCTTTCTGTTCTTAGATTAAAGACAGTGCACGAATGAATGTGGTGTGGGAGGGGATAATACATTTTAGTTTTTAAAATGGGGAAAATGTGCATCAGTAAAATAGAATGTATTGGTTAAATGCCACTGAGATCTTTAATGGCCTGTGGTTGTATAAAATGCATTTAATTGAAAGATGTTGCTTTTGTTGATGTAGTCTCTCTGAACAGCAGAGCGATTCTTTAGTGCTGTTTGTGGAGGAACACCATCATCATTCTGGGAAGAAATAAAGTAATTAGCCTAGAGGGGTGAAGAGAAATCCAGTCCTATGAGGATAAAGTCCTGTGACTCCTGCTCTTTCTGGCCCTGTGGTTTGTAGAACTGAGCAGTGTTTTGCTCTCTCCTCCCCCGCGGCTTCTGCTTTACATTCAATTTTCTGTGTCTCTGTCCATGTTTTGGGGGCTGCTCTGTCTTTTTGTTGTCCCTTGTGAGTTTCTGGGATCTGAGTGAAGAAATGTTATTTAGCAGTCAACCACATGGGGGAGTTTAAGGACTAGATTGTAAAAACTGGATAGGCAATTTTGAAACGAAGTGGTTTGTGGCTGACAGAGAGTGGATTTATAATGAGCTGCAGTGTAGACTAGAATTTAATTGTGTGCTTGCTAAACCAAACACACTTACGCTTTTCCAGGAGGAAAGGTTTGAGTTTGTTGTTGCATGTTTGTTCTTAACTGTTTTAAGACACTTAGATGAATTAAGAATAGCAGCTGCTGTTATCGTAGTAAAAATAAAGTTATATGATTTGCCAACGCTTGTTCTTAGTGTGTAAAAACAATTTAATGAAGACCATTGCTCCCCTTGGTAAAACATGGTAGTGCTGCCTTCTGAAGTGCCATTGTCTGAGTTACAGCATTTGACTAAATCCATATTTTAATTCTGTTTTCTTTGGCAGTAACCTGGGTCTGAGAAGCAGTGTAGAGGTATATTTAGACATAGGAAGAAAGGAAGATAAGACAGCCAGCCTGAATCAGACCACAAGTTTTTTAATTATAGTTCTGTCCTCTTCTGTTTCCTTGTTACTCGTTTTCATCCTTTGACCCTACACCCTTTTCTTTTATTTTGTTTTTCCCTGGATTCATTTTGTTTTTCCTCCCCTCTGCCCTACCCCGAGGCTGTAACCCATACCTCCTCACCCCTTTTGAGATGAGGAAGAGGCAGAACCTTATTTACTGCCATTTTTCAGTTGTTTTGGTCTTTTCAACCCCCAAAACTCTGTACCACCAGCAGTTTTAATCACAACACTATTCTCCTCCATTTTTCCAGACTGTTTATAAATATGTTGAAACAAACCTTGATTCTGGCACAGATCCTTGATGGTAGACGACCTGGGCTCCACAGTGGAGGTCTCTTATCTACTTGCTTGTTGATGGATTTGGAGGACTCTAGTAGGTCTGTGAAGCAGGTTTTCCATTTACAGAAGCTGTCTGGACTCTTTCTGAGTGTATCATATTTACCCATGTGTCCTCTAATTCTGTTCTTATCATTTCTTTGAATTTCCCTGATGCACCAGAATATATCAGGCTTCCCAGCCTGCAGTACTTCGCATCTCTTATGAAGCTCTTAGAAGAAAATGTTTTCACGTTTTCTGTCTTCTGGTCCTCATGAGCCAAGGCGGTTTAAAAGAAGAGGTGACTCACCACAGCTATTTAGGTATTTCATCCTTGAATTCCTTTAGTATTCCTGTATGAATTGCCATCTGGTCCTGGTGATGTGCAACTGTTGATGTTGCAGTTCTTGTAATACACAATAAAGGATTAGAATTTGGTTTTGGTTGGTATAGAAGCAGAAGGTAAGCTTAAAACATAATCGATGAATGAGCAAGGAACTGTAGACTTGAAACTACGATTTGAACAGGAGGCTCTTACCACAATATGGCTGCTAGCTTTTCTTTCTTTGTTCAGCTTCCTCTGATTAGCATGGATCCGTCTTCAGAAAGAAACCTAACCTACTCATTATGTGCCTCTTCAGATGCTTTTTCTTGTGTCTGCATGGTTGGTTTCTTAACAGATTTCTCTGCCATTCTCTCATTTGCGTTCCTGACCACATTGGCTATGTGCTTTGCATTGAAAGATAATCTGTGAATGCAATGGGGAGCTTGCAAAAGGAAGACAGTTCATGGCAGAAACGTCTGTATGGAAGCAGGGAAGCACTTGTCAGTGGGACAGCAGGTTTAATGTTGGGAAGGATTTGGAGCCATGGAAATTAGAGCAGGCAGAACATACTTCCCCTGCTGGACTAAGCACTTTGGCTTAGCCCCTAAACTGTCCGGTCTTCTTGGTTGGGCCACTGTGACCCCATTTATTTTCCAAATGTTGTCTATTACCTCTTGCCATTATCTGTCGAGCAGTTTCTTTTTATACCTGTGCAGACTTCTGTAGATGTAGCAGAGATGTTTAAAGAGAGGTGGAAAGAGGCCCCTTTCCAAGGAAAAAACTTCCTGGTTTGAGTTAGCGTGCTGTGTACTGTGATGCACTCTCTGACTAGCAGAATCTTGTTTGTCCAATGTTCTCCTTTATTTTACTGTTTTGGGGAAAATGGCTGTGAAGTGACCTTGTTGCACCTCATTTGGTAGAAATTCAACTCCACAATGTAGTGTTTCATAAAATTGATGCGTTCATGGGAAAAACAATCCCTCCCTCCATCTGCTGCTAGCTTATGCTCACCTAGGAGGGAGCAGAGCACTTCAATCTGTTACTGCAGTTGAGTGAACCTCAGCTGTTGATCCTTGTACTGACTTAGCCCAAACACTTTCCCCTGAAGATAGCTGCATGGGAAATAAACCACGAGATCTCCTTCCCCCTAAGAAAAACAGCCTTACAGGAGAGGAGCTTGGGTAAACGGATTGTGGTGCCTTTGGGGGATGTCTTGTTGACACAGAAAATGGGCCTTTTGTGAGTTCTGAAATCTTATGAATCCTGAAAATAAGCCTGTTTGGTGTAAACAGACACTTCTTTCTGTTGTGAATTTCCACATGTTGCAGGTTTGCTGGCAGCAGTGGGAGAAGGCTAGGCTTTGGGTCTGATGAATTTGTGGCATGGCGGGTAGGTTTCTTTCTGGAATATCATCTAGGATTGGTGATCCATATATAAAAATACAGATCCTATTGGAAATACAAAATTGAAGAGCAACGATTCGGCCAGTATTTGTGATAAATTTCATACTATATATTCTGTAGCGATGATCACCTCCAAGTCACAGGCCTAATTGCCAGTCTTGTTAATCTCTGGTGACAGAATTCTAGGGATTGAAGTGCTTTTGTTTACTTGGAGCTATATGACCCTGGTAATATGTTAAATAGGCTTGGCTTTGGATGATCGCTGGATGAGGAGCCTTTCAGAAAAGCAGTAAGTGCTGCAGAAGGTGGCATTCTGCATAATGATAGTACCTGGAAGGGTGCTAGGTATCTGGGTGAGATCTAAGACCAAGGCTCTTTGGCTGTGATCATCGGGGAAGAGAAGTTTGCTGGTTCTTTTTGGCAAGGCTTGACATTAAATAGCTGCTCTCAACTCAGATGTGTCTGTATGCTTGGTTTCGTTTATGTGCATTCTTATCAGACAGTACCTGAAAGTTAAAGGAGATGAAGAAAAAAAGATATTTTCTCATTTGTTGGTTTCCATTCAGCACCAGAGGCAGAACGAAGCTAACAATTTCACCCTTCCATCTACAGCAATATTTCAATTTTTGCTGTCTAATCAGGCTTTTAATCATCTTTCTCTATTGCTTAATGTTGGAAACAGGAGAACAAGAGAAGAAAATGTAAGAAAAACAAAACAAAATTGATTGACCTTACCAAGAACAAGAGGTGGGGATTTGGATTTGAGTACAGTACCTGAAATTTCTTTTCTCTCTGTCTTTAATTGATTAGATTGCAGGTTGATTAGATCCCTTTCAGCATAGTGACCTAGCTGCATTTTAATGCTGGCAATTAGTTTCTTTTCCTCTAGGAGTTTAAAGGAGATGTAACATTCTCTGCTGCTTCTGAGCAGCGATATGCATTGCTAAATGGTTGTTGGGCTGAGTACCCTGCTTGGGCTTGCCAGTTTCTGCTTCTACTTTTAAGTTTGTCCATAGTGTTTTGAGTGAGTGACAGAGCATCAGTATTGGCTCTTTATTTGTCTCCGTATTAATAGTAGTCTGGTGTTCGGTGGTTTTGGTAGCACAAAATGCTCTCAACTGATGGCTGCTAGAGAGCTAAGTATGTTCTTTATATGTGTTAAAAAATCAGAGATTTTTTTTTTTTTTAATGGCATAAATTTTGATGTTTTTTTCTGTTTGGTTTTGTTCAATGGTTGTTTTTTTCTGTTCTAACCTCCTGGTCCCAGCGTTGTATGAGACATATGGCTGTTTGTGAACTGCAGAAATCTGTGGCTGTGAGGTGGAGGGGGGAGTGAGTGAGATGTAAAAACAGTATGGGTGACGCTTAGTTTATAAGGGAACTGGTGATCTTTTAATTCATCTTGTCAGAGCACCTGCTGTCTTCTCTACAAGGTAGTTACATAATTGAGTAGGAATTGGGATGTGAGTCATTTTCCAGCAATTAATAACTGGGATGAATCCATGACCTGAGATCCGTATGCTGTTCTTACATCCACTTAGAAATACCATCATCTGCAGCTCTTAACATAGTGTGATAGCCCCCCTTTATTTGAATAGTCATAAAGTGCTGAGCTGGTGTTCTTGAAAATGGATGATTTTAGTCCTGGTAGCTCTGAGTTTAACCTTCCATTTTCACTCCCCTGAAATGTCTGTTTTTACTGCTGTGTTTCAGTGGTCTTCTATGGGTCAGTTCTGAAGGATCAGGGGGAGCTGAGGCTCTGTGACCCAGTGTCTCAGTGAGACTGAAGGGTACCTAATGCACTCACCAGAAAGACAGGGCAGTGAGAATTTTATCAAGGCATCGATGCTGTCTGTGTACTGTTTAAATCAGGTCTTGTTACTGGCAAGAGTGTGTGGTGATATGCAAGTAATATAGGGTGAGAGCGAGGGGAATCTCGGGGTGGGCTGCAGAAGAGGTTGGGAAGAATTGATCAGAAACAAACAAAGGGTGAAATTGTTAGCTTAATTCTGCCACTGGTGCTGAATGGAGCATAAAAAAGTGTATAAATACCATACTTAGCAGAAAGGAATTTTGTTTTTTTGACATCAGCATTTGAAGTCAGTGTTACCGATACGGGCAGATACATCACATGTGTTTAATTGTGAATTGAGAAATCTGGTGGAAATATGTTTACCTTTCAGAGGCCTTGCCTTATCACACCTTCTCTTTTTCTGATGTGGAATTTCTATTCGTTAACTCATCTTGATGAAAAATTTGGTTGCCTGACTGTAAATGAATGATGATTGAAGGGCTCATGTCAGCTTTTCTCCCATCTCCTCCATCCTGCGTGGTCATTCCTTTCTCCATAGCAACACCGAGAAGGCAGGTCTCAAACCCCAGGCAGGGAATGATGCTCTACCGTGGAACATCCCCAGGCCTCCTCCCAGGGCCTGGTGTTGACTTCTTAGGTTGCATAGAGGGATACTTCTTTCAGTGTCATGCTTCATGACTACTGGAAGTGAGGGCAGGGAAATGACCTTTTTGGCTACAGTGTACCTTTATGAAATGTACATGTATCCTGTTTCTTGTTTTTTATGTGTCTTTTACATTATAAGTTCAGATCTTGTCTATCCCAGAAACCTTTGTATCTGACTATTAGGCCTGTGACATCAGAGATAATAAGGAAGAGAAATGTAATTAACTGCGAGGGGAAGTGACTTGCCTTCATGTTATTTAAAATGCCTTGTTTTGTTTGTGCCAAGGACCCATTTCATTCACATCCCCAGGAGAAAAACTCTTGGGTGGGAAGGGAGTTGCTTAAGGGTTCAGAAGGTTTGCATGCGACATTCATCAATCACCCAAGGAATCTTGTGGCGTTAGAAAGGAAAATGAGAATTGGCAGTGCTGATTTGGAGGGAGGAGAAGAGGGGAAAGCAGATAAAACATTACTAGGTAGTGTTCATATGTAATGGAGAAGCTGTGGAGAACCTCCAGCAATCTGCTTTCCCTTTGTACATCACCTTATTATTGACAATATCTCTTTAACTGATACATTCCTTTCAGATTTTGGAGGTGTGCTATTTTTGTCTTTTCTGTTTTTCAGGGGAAAAGGGGAGCCAGTGACTGAGCTGAGTTGGTCCTCCTGCCGGCAGCTTCTCTACCAGTCAATGGCCACCATCCTGGCTCACACAGGCTTTGAGTGTGCCAATGAGAGTGTCCTGGAGACCCTGACAGACATCGCCCATGAGTACTGCCTGAAGTTCACCAAACTGCTGCGCTTTGCTGTGGATCGAGAAGCTCGGCTTGGGCATACCCCTTTCCCTGATGTCATGGAGCAGGTCTTCCATGAAGTGGGCATTGGCAGCGTGCTCTCGCTGCAGAAGTTCTGGCAACACCGCATTAAGGATTATCACAGTTACATGCTTCAGGTGAGAAGAGCAGTAGGGACCTGAGAGCACCAAGAAATGTACCCCCAGTACAACTGATTATTCCTATACCAAGTAGGTAAAATCTGATTAGAAAAACTCTTGGGTGTGGAGGGGAGTCATCAAGGAAGAGAGAAACAGGATTTTTTTTTTTACTTTATTTGTGTCCCTACTGAGGCTAAGAATGCTCTACTGATGGTTTGTCTGGGTTTAAGAGGAGGCCCCCAGCTCTTGAATGGCCCAGACAAAAATATCAAGCAGAGTTAAAATCAGTACTGATAGATTAACTGAATTTTCTGCTTTAATAGGGTATTTGGTCGCTTACTATTTCAGAAAACAAGTAAGCAGACAAACAAAAATTATATTAGTCTTGTGTTTGCTTAAGCAAGGGGTGACTTGCTTAAGCTTTAGGAGTGTAGGGTACTATTGTGCTGACTGAGTTGTCACACAGGTGCTACCTTCCACTCTAGAGGGGACTGTGCTTCTGTGGAGAAAGAAGAGAAATTGTTAAATTCCTTGGCATATGAGGTATCATATAAATGTCGGTTGTAAGAATATGGGTGTGGTTTCTCTTGGTCCAGATATTCTGTGAAATTAAACATACGTATTTTATTTGAATGACACAAGACTTCCTGTTGTGGACTTAGAGAAATGCAAGGATTTGAAGTGGGGATTGTACTCCTGCTCATCAAAAAACAAAACTTGAATCAAGTAGGTAGCCTGTGACCAAAGGCAAAACCTGCCATCCCTTCTTGTCGTGTTATCTGAGTGCCAGTTGACTCATCTTGGAGCAGTTACCTTGTGCTCCTTATTTTCCCAGGGTTGGCACCTTGTGGCTTTCAGAAATAGTGTAAATCAGAGACACTAGTATGTAAACTGCGATGGACTCGGAGGTTTGTGCATAAAAATAACATCATCAAGATTTGTCTTCACTAAAAACATTTTTGTTGAAAAACCCCATTCTGTTAATTTTTGTTCAAATGTTTTCTTTTCAGATGTTGTCTCCTTTTGGAATTTGGGTTTTCTGCATCAGTCTGCTGATGCAGTTCATTCTCATCCTGCAGCTGGTCATTGCCTCTTATTTGTTCTGTTCTTTATGCAGGGCTGAGGTCCACAGTAGCCTCTGTATTTGGAGGTATATCTAGAAGGGGAAATAGGCTTTGCTATTCTTTTTCCTTCTTACTTCTGCTGTTAAAAAGCCTTGGGCTTTTCCTGAGCACAGTTCACTGACTATTGGGATTCAGTGGTATAAACAAGCGTTTGTTAGAAGTGGATGAAATCTGAAATTTTTAATGTAATTGCTCACAGTTGTTGAGTTTCTAGAAGTACAGCGTAGTTCTATCTCATTCCTCTATTTGTTTCACTTCTCTGACTGGGGAAAAATTCAGTGTTTTTTGCTGTGAATCTGACAGAAGGTACCCAGGCTTTGCCCAGTGGTGACTACAGAGCTGCTTGTTTTCTAATGCTGGAGTAAATTTGTTACTGGGGGATGGGGGACAGCCTGACAGGTAAAACTAAAGAGTAAGACTGAGACACTGCTTTTGTTTTGTATTCTGTTTAAATTTCTGGGTCTCTCTCTGTGAAATAAAGGTGCTCATATTTATCAAGCAGATGTGTTAATGGATTAAACCTCTTATTAAAGTCCCTTGTTACATGACAGAAGGTGTTCTTAAAGGGAAAAAAAAAATCCTTCCTGTGTAGCTGGTAACGTGTTTACTTGTTCATTCAGGTCAGATGTTAATAATATTCTGGGAACACAGCGCACTGCAATGTAATTGCCATCAGAGCCTCTGAAGTCACTCTGACCTTTCTGGCCGGTTTTTCACCCCCACTGATCTTTGACAGGTTAGCAAGCAGCTCTCTGAAGAATATGAGAAGATTGTCAACCCTGAAAAGGCAGCAGAAGACACAAAGCCTGTGAAGATTAAGGAGGAACCTGTTAGTGATATTACTTTCCCCATAAGTGAGGAGCTGGAAGGAGATCTGGCTTCTGGTGACCAGTCATTGCCCGTTGGAGTCCTTGGAGCTCAAAGCGAGCGCTTCTCTGCCAACTTGGAAGTAGAAGCTTCTCCGCAGACTTCAGGTAGGGGTTTCTTGCTACTCCTGGAGACAGTCCATCAGCAGTTCCATGTGATCTTGTTTCCATTTTTAATAGCAGATCCCAGTGTGAGGAGGCAGAATGAGAAGAAATTTTTAGGTTTCAGTAAAAAGATTTGGATGGGAGGGAAACCCTTGCTTGCTTTCTAAATACAAAACCAAAGAATCAAAGGTATCAATTACTGCGATTTGTTAAATATTTACTCCATTTGTGGACCCTGTAGAACACAAAATGCTTTATATGGTGTTTCTTTTTAGGAGATGGTTAAAGTTCTTGGATTTGTTATTGGTGTGAGGTAGATTGTTTTTCTACAGTGATGGCCCAAAGGCTTTATTGTTGTTTTTTGAACTAGGGTATTTGCTACAGATGTGAGTACTGGGTTTGGTTTTTTTCCTCCAGTCTAATGAAACAAAGACAAAAATAACTTAGGGGGTTTTATCTATGTATATATTTTAGTTTAGAAGGGACTAGAGTTTTATCCTTATTTCTAGTAAGGAGAGTGATGAATTTTTTTTTTTTCTGGGTAGTTTTGGATTCTTGTCCAGAGATTCAAGTTACTGAAAAGTTGAAGGCCATGTTCCTTGTGACTGAAGTAAATTCAAGACCCTATGTAGTTTAGGCACTGAATGAGTTAGGAAATACTAATGATACTTGTTGTGGTCCTCCATATTCAGAAGTGACCCTGATAGTGACAATCATTGTTTCACGAAAGCTTATTAGTGGCTTATGTGAAATGGGCTCGTAGGAGTCTCCTATACATCTCTGCCCCAAAGACTTCTGCAGTTAGCTGAGGCCGTGGAAAGTGAAATGGTTATGGAGACTGTACTCTTTTCCTCAAAGTGTCATCCCTTGACATTGGTGTTGAAGCCACACTTGTGGCCAGCATGGGAGAATCTGCTACTACTGTGCCTTTTCTATATCTATATTCAAGTTTTATTCTGTGCATCATTTAGCTGTGCTAAATTTTCTGGAAAATGAAGACAACATTCTTCTCCCAAAGAAAGCCAGTTTCGATTTTTATATAGAACCTTCTGAACTCTGGAAATCCCTGCAGTAATAACTGTTTCACTTAAAAATCTGATTAAAAAACAATGAAGCCTGTCCTCCTATTAACCCTAAACTAAGTAGCATATATAGTGAGGTTAGAGTGTACCTCTGAGTCCATTAGTTTTGGCTTTTTTTAAAAAGCACATTCTTCTGAGTTTTAAAAAAGCACAAATCCATCTGATGTTTTTCTGGAAGGTCATACTGTTTTCCATAGCACCACTGAAATGTGAAGTGCTGGCATTTTTGTGGGAGAGGGAACAGCAGACTCTGCTGGCCCATCTGGGGTTGTGAGTGATTCATCTGGAAAGCTTTGTATTAGCATCTACCACTTGAGACCCAGAGGTTAGCATGCTAGCTGTATATTAAATGCCTCTTGCCTCTCTGATACTGAATTGATGTTTTCTAATTAAGAATAAAAGTGCTCTGTTCCTCCCTGAAAATCCATCTTCACTTCTCAAGGGCCTTTGGAAATCTCATCACTGTGAGAAGTCCCAGTCTAGAGGTGGGCAGGCTGGAGAGCGTAATATCTTAAGGAGCAAGAAAAAGCTGCTGCAATTAGGACACCACCATCTCGAAAATACAAGTGTGAGGCCTGTAGAGAGGGCAGCGAGGCTTCAGTGTCTGAGGGCAAAACTCTCGTTACAGCCTTCCATGTTCTGCTTGTGGTTCTGCTTATGCCTGATGTTGCAGTTGCAGGCTAGCTGCTTAATTTCATTGCAGTTGGGGAAATGGAGGCAAAACTGGGGACCTTGTTCCTCCACCCAGCAGGATAACATGAGGATTAGCTCATTTGTAAAGCACTTTCACTTCAAAGTGCTTTGAAGATGAAATGTCCTGTGTCAGTGCTTAAGTACTTTTAGTCATTAGTGACACTCTCAATGACAGGTGATAGAGCTGAAAGGAGTAAGGCTGAGCAATGAAGAGCAATTGATGAAAGAAAGACACAGTTAAGTTTACTGAGCATCTTTGATTATTTTGTAGACTGGAGCTGCCACTCTGTGGAACGGGTAGTGTTTTAATGATGGGTCCATTGTTGTTGAGAGGAATACATTTACTTATAATGAACATAAAAAGGACTTTTCATTAAGGCAACTGGACGCCAGCAAGCACTTTCATTCTGGCTTGCTGTCTTAACTGCTGAGCTAATGTAGGCTGTTTTACCACAAAGGTCTCCTAAACCCTGGCTTGGGCTAAGGTGCTCTGGAAAAGACTCCTGACTCCTTCATAAGGGAGAATTCTCAGTACAAACATGTGATGGGAGATCTGTTCTCTGTGTAATTGCTAGTAATAAGGGACTATTGTCAGTAGTATATTGATAATAGGGAATAGTAGTAGGTTTGGCTCAGTACAAAAGGCTTGGCTGTGCTTTTAAACTGTAGCCAAAGCTCCTTGAGACACAAGGTTTGGAAAACTTATTCAAACTGGTTTCCTAGGTTCTTTTTTTTTATTTTTCACGTGAATTTAACCCCACACAAGAGGGACCAGATTTAAAAAGTGAGAAGATTTCAGGCTTTGTTCAATTCTGGACTGTTTATGCCCATCTCAGCAAGCAGCCCAATTAGTGTATTTTTAATAGGATTTTTGTCTGTCTTAAAACTGTAAATAAGCAGAAATAATGCAATGTATAATTACTGCTCTTGGGGAGATAAACATTTGCTGTTATCAAGAAATATGGTTTCATAATCTTGTACAGAAAATCCTCAATCTGCTCAAATTGCCCACTAGTCCAAAAAATTTGGAAAAAAAAGGGGGGGTAAGGGACAGGGGAGCTATCTCCCAGCAGGTTGTGTGCAAAGTTGAGCCAGGAGGGTTTCTTCTCATTCTACTGAAGGATGGGATGAGACCTGTGGGTGTTGAGTACAAGGAGGCAGGCAGTTGGGTTGCTGACTGCAGCTCTGATGTCCCTGCATTTCAGTGCTGGGAGTGGTATTTGAGACTGTTCATCTGCCTGCTCCTCTGCCCTCTCACATCACCTTTCCCTGCAGAAATCCAGTATGTCTGACATCTTAAAGGAGGTTGCAAGGTTGCAAGGACCTCATCACCGTGAATAACTTCTGGACCACCTCTGAACCCTGCAGGGTCTAGTCCATGTGCTGTTGGTGTACTCATTGTTGCTGAGACACTCCTTCTGTAGAGTACTATAGGCTCTTTAAATTGTTTTTCATGAAGAAAACCATGTGGAGGATTGCTGTGAAAGGATAGCATTGTATTTTTTAGAGTGGCAATTATTCAGCTATTAGAAAAAAAAGCCACCAGATTTTTTTATTTATTGTTTCACAATACTTAGTGTGTTTTGTTTGTTTTTCCCCCAGCCTAGTTCACCTGTAGCTTTACTTTTGCTCCTTCTTTACCAGCGCTGCTGTCCCTTGCATCTGCATGCTGTTTGTAATTTGTCTTTTTATTCAGTTACTACTGTGTGCTTTTTCGTTCTCTAGGGGCTGAGGTGAACGCTTCCCCACTCTGGAACTTGGCACAGGTAAAAATGGAGCCACAGGAAAATGAGGAGGCTAATGTACATGGCCACGGGGTCCTAGGCAGTGATGTCTTTGAGGAACCGATGTCAGGGATGAGCGAAGCTGGGATGCCACAGAGCCCAAATGGCTCTGAGAGCAGCTATGGTTCTCATTCTGCTGACAGTCTGATGGGATCCTCACCTGTCTTCAACCAGCGCTGCAAGAAAAAGATGAAGAAGATGTGAAAAGAGGCAGTCTTTTTACTTAGTCCTGATGGTACGTAATAGACTTGAAACAAACCAAGAGAGTACTGTGATGGCTATGATTCATAAACAGGGCTGGCCCTGGTGTATGAGGGGCCTTGCATAAAATTATTATGAGAGGTTTGATGTGTAGTGCACTTCAGCTTCCCTCTTTGCTGGCTTCTGTACTCCATCCTGACTCATGAGATTGAAGATCACCCTATACATTTGGTAGTGGCATGGCTTGCTTTGGCAGATTAATGAGGAAGTTACTGGTGGGAAGTAGTTGTGAGCAGATTTGCTAAGTCATAGAGTCATTGAATAACTTGGGTTGAAGGGACCTCTTGACACTTCTAGCCCAGCCCCCTGCTTGAAGCACAGCCAATTCTAGCAGGTTGCCTAGGGCCTTGTCCATTTAAGTTTTAAGTATCACCAAGGATGGTGATGCCAAACTTCTTTGGGCAACGTTTTCCCACATTTGACTACCCTCATAGTAAAAAATAATACATTCTTGCATCTAGTCAGAATGTCCCATGTTCCACCTTGTGTTCATTGCCTCTTGTTCTATCACTGTTCATCTCTGAGAAGAGGCTGACTGTCCTCTCTGACCCGCCCATACAAGTGGTTGTGTACAATGAGACCTCTTTTTAGCCTTTTCTCTTCTTAAGTGTGGAGAAACCAAGCTCCCAGAGCCTTTCCTTGTACATCCTGTGCTCAAGCTCCCTAACCAGCTTTGTGGCCTTTGACTGAAATTGCTGCAGTGCCCTTCTTGTAAGAGGGAGCACAAAAGTGGATGCAGTCCTCCAGATATGGTCTCACAAGTGCTGAATAGAGAGAAATAATAATTTCCCGCAATGTGCTGGCTACACACTTGCTGACTGTTGTGGGCAACAAGACAGTCTTAAGTCAGGATATTTCACTGCTTGGGGAGCTGTCACTGATTGTTATGATGACCTAGCAAAGATGCTGTAGAGTGGCTTCACAGTGCCATCAGCCAGCTCGTTCAGTGCCTTCAGATGCATCCTGTCTGGTTCCATGGACTTAACATATGTTCATTTGGCTTAAGTTCTTCCTAACTCAGTCTTCCTCTACTGTAGATAATGCTTTATTCCCACACACTCTGCTAGAAGACCCAGGGACCTGGCAGACCTTATCAGTGAAAACAGGCAAAAAAAGTGTTGAGTACATCAGCTTCAAAGTACAAAGGGCGTCCTTTGTCACCACACTGCCTGCATTGTTGAACAGTAAACCCATGTTTTCTTTAAGCTTTCATTTGCTTCCAGTGTACTTAAAGAAGCCCTTCTTCACTTTTCTTACTGGTTTCAACTCCAGCTGAGCTTTGACTTACCTAACTGTCCCTGCATGCTTGGGCTGTGTCTCTGTATCCCTGCTGGCCAGCCTATCCTCACTTCCACCTCTGTGTACTTTCTCCTTTGTGTTTGAGCTCAGTCAGGAGTTCCTTGATCATCTGTGCTGGCCTTCTGTCATGCCTGCTTTGCTTTCTGCTTGTCAGAAAGGAATGTTCTTCTACTTTGAGAAAGCCATCTTTGAAGATAAGGCAGCACACTTGGGCCCCGTATGGGAGGCCAGGGCAGTCCCTTATGAGATCCTGCCAAGACATGCCTTGAGTAAACCAAAATATGTTGTCCTAAAGATCCAGGACTCTGTCTTGTACACGTTTCTCAGGATTTTAAATGCCACAATGCCATGTTTGCTGCAGCCAAGACCTTCACATTCTCCACCAATTCTTCCTTGTTAGAAACAAGTCCAGCAGAGCTTCTTCCCTAGTTGATTTCTTGATCATCTGGTCAGGGAAATTGATGTGGTTTTCTGAGAATGAAGCAGTGTTTACTATTGGGGTGAGCCAGTACAGGCAATGCAAATTTTTCCCTTGCTCTCGTTGGATCAAGTACAGCAACTTGAGGCTGGCTGAGGTTTTGTATTCAAAGTTGTTATCTTGACAACTTAGTTTGAAAAAGAATCTATTTTGCTGCTTGCTTTTATGGTGCAGCTGACTGATGGCTTTTTTTTTGTTCTGCACAATCCTCAGTTGATCAACTCAGTCTTTAACTTGATTCAGTGAGTATCTCTCTCAAAAAAGCTGGAATGAACATGAATCAAGAATGAACAGCCACTTAAACTGGCTTTATACCTGTAACCCATTGGGATGTTTGAGGGAGATTTACCAAACCTCCCATTTGTCCTTGCAATTGCAAGTTTATCTTTTGAAAGAATGAGCTTCAGGCATAGTATTTTTGTTTCTGTATAACATGCCTAGCCTTAATTCTTTTTTCCTGACTGTATTTCTCTTCCACTTTATAGAAGTGGAAGCTAAACATAAAATTCCTCAATGTCTAGTAAGAATGTGTGACCACAGGCTTTTATGGATATTGGAGTTAAAATTGTCCATCACAGTTTTAAAGGTTTCTCCTGGGTGAGTAAATTCTGGCTATTTGAAGCCTGGTCAGTAGTGGAAGAGTGTACCAGTGTATCAAGAAATCTTTATTTTGAATCCCTGTGAGTCACCATTAGGCAAGCTGCAATGTCCCTGTTTTCTCAGCTGTAAAAAAAGAATAGTAATATTTGCCTCTTAGAATTGTGTTTGAGATTTAGTTACTGTTCAGAAAAAGTCACCGTAATCGTTCAGAGAGTTTTGTGAGGGTTGTGAGCTTTTCTTCCATTTCAGTAGGACTGTTGCTGGCTGGAGAATGCTTAGATGAACACTGAAATGTTACAGACCTGTATGATAGTGTATGATGGCTTTAAGCAAGACTGCTTATCGAGAAGAAGTACAGCACAACTATGCTGTTCAACTGCCCAGGTACAAGGAAGGCATTTGGGTTGGTATCTTCTCACTCAGCTTTAGATGTCTGCATCTAAATCTGTTCCTCTGGGCCCCATTTGCAGCTGAAGAGAAATAGTCATTCTTAGGTCACCGTTCATCTGGCCTTGAAGTAGAAGTATAAAGCGTGTCAGGTGAACGGCATTTTTAGAAGTGTCTATTTTTCCTTTGTGTGCCCATAAAGTGAGTTCAACTTGACTACCTCAGCTGAAGACATCCACACCATCGATATCTGAGTGAAGTGACCTGACTGTAGCCCTTCCCATATGGGAATCAGAGGAGACTTCCTGCTGCTGAGCCGGTGCTTTTTCTTTTCTACAAATTTAGTAGAGCTTGCCGTTCAAATGGCAGTACGGGGCTAAAAGCAGACTGCCCGTCTTACCTAAACCAGCAGACCCAGTGTTCTCCACAACACACAGAATGTGCTGGGCTGGGGCCTCGGGGCTCAGCCTGATTTGGCCCTTGTGTCTTTGACACTGCATGAGAACACCTGTCATTGGGCCTTTCTCCGTAGATGCTTTGCCAAACTGTTTTAGTAAAGTATTCTTGAGGCCGGGGCGCCTATACAAAGTCCCTTGCGCTATTTTCAGGAGCTAGAGGACAGAGTGACTGCTGCCAGTATCGCTTGCTCATTTGCAAGATTTCAGGTGGGCTAAAAATGAAAAGCTAGTGTCCTCCAGGGCTTTGGTTAAACCTCCTAAGCATCAATCTTAAGTGCTTTCTTTATATTGCTCATGTGTAGATGTTCTATCTTAATTTTAATCATGTTTTTTTTATTTCACATCCCTTTTCCACACCCCTTTCATCCTGTAATGCACACTTTGCAACAAGCCAAACCTGAGTGCTTCAAGTGTGTTTAAATACAGTGGAAATCCTTTGATTCAGCCATGTCGTTGCAGTGTAAGAGAGAAGTGTTATCGATTCTCTTTGGGATGCATGTTTATGCAGAGATGAGAAATGCGTCAGCGTCGCTTGTACATTTAAAAATGATGGCAGAGTAAAATCTGCGCTTCCTGTTCCCCCATTGTGCTAAGTGTTTCTTCTGACATTTGTGTGCTTGACGTTTCCTTTTATGCATGTGGAAGCTTTACCTTCTGCGTGAGCCCTTCCCCTCTGAACATTTACAGTCCTTGGATTTACAGTGGTGTTCACTGTGCACGAAACAGCGAAATTTCAAATCTCTCTCACAAAGTCAGATACAGACAATATGCTCTCTTGATGAATCAAATAAGATTTTGCTAGGTGTTTAATGCAGCCTTGGGCAACTGGTGAGGAGTTCATTGACCATGTAATCCCCACATTTTAAGCCACAGTGAGATTATGCAGTGGGTTGGAATGAAGCTCTGCTCTTGCAGTTGTTGTTTTTGCTGGTTGCTGGTAAAGCATTCTGCCGACCCACCTGCTTCAGTAGCCTGCAGCTTTGTTGGTTCTTTCGTCTTTCTCCCTTCTCTTTCCAAAGGCGGGTGGCTGACAAATTGAAATATTGAGTATTGACCACATCCACATTCAGTAGCGTTGATGTCTTTAGTGATTTATTTTGCCATGATTCAAATTGGTGGGAACTTTGATATCAATTTGGAGAGCAAGAGCTGTGAATTACTTGGCTTTTGAAGTGTTTTGCATGGGAGTCATACAGGATTGTAGTTGAGAGAGCGCTGTGTATCATATTCCTTTTTCCCTCTAGCAATACCTTTTTATTCCTTTTGAAGAGTTTTGCCTGATATCCAACAAAGTTCGCTGTATAAACGACAGTGTAACAACTTTAGTGTACAGCTATACGTCAGACCGTGCTACCTACTGATTTAATTCCAAGACCATCCATGCTAATTTGAATATGCATAATGCTGTGCAGAAAAAGAGATGTTTCCTGCATAGAAATTTACAATTTAAAAAGAAAACAGGAAAATAAGATTAGGTAGGGTAGGTGAGGCCAATCTGATTATGTGCTCAATTCTGAGACTAATGCACACATTATGTGTGAAGGATGTTTTACTTAAAGTGTTTTTGTACATGCATGTGAATGAAATATGTAACTTTGCTTGTGTTTATATGGAACAAAATTGCTTGTAAATATTTCAGGGCTGGATTTTTTTCCTTGCTCTCCTGGAGAGAGTTTCTTTGTAATTTCTAAGAAAATAAAATAAAAAAAAATATGCAGAAATAAAAATTCTAAAGGTGTCATGTGGGGTTTTTTTGTTTGTTTTGAAGAACAGTGCTGTGAATGCAAAGGCCAGTCTTGTGGTTCTGTCTACCCATACGTGGGATCTGGAGTAGACCTTTTGCAGGCCTGAATAAGGTACCGAGATGGTATCAGTGTTAATGTCACAACTAGGGAGACAAGAGTGGGTATTCCAGGATGTGGCCAGAGAAAATGGAAGTCTCATTTTTCACGGGCGCCAGTGCTAGCGAGCCCTGAAGTGTTATTAGTGCTGCAGTGCTAGTATCGGTATTCATCTAGCATAAGCAAGTGCTATTTCTGAAGCAACTACTTATATACACCTCTACTACCTACAGTACCAGACTACCTAGGAGCCCTGCTCCAAGCCTTGTGCCTTGCTCTTTTAGGTGCTGGTCTCCTTGGTCTCTGTGCTTCTTTAGACTGCAGTGAGTGAAGCACAGTGTGTTTTCCCCTCTCCTCTCCCTGTTGTAGCAGAGCTGAGGGAGGATGTTTGATGCCTGATAGCCCCGCTACGCAATTGCAAATAGCACATCATGAATCAGGATATAGGCCTGTGTTGCTTGCCGGGAGAGAGGGAATAATGATCCTAGTGCTTCCTGTCAGCCCTGTACAGGACTGCTGTCCTCGGAAGCCTGTGCTACTGAATTAATGTCACGGTCCGCGGGTGAGTGTGGGGCTGTGCTTTTTCCCCTTCCCTGGCAGGGCCTGGAGGAAGAGGACAGCAATCACCCTCATGGATTGCACCCCACTGGATTAAAGCCTGAGCCCGCTTGCATCCCAGTTCTACCTCCCTCTGCTCCAACAACCCGGAGCGTGCCTGTGCTGCGGCAGCCTTGAACACGTGGGCTGCCGGGACCCTCAGAGGCAGGTGATCTCAGTGGGGGGCCCCCTCTGGTGGTGCTGGCCACACACCGATGACGGGGGCCTGCTGGCCGGGGGGCTGCTGCAGCCCAGGGAGGGCTGCTTGCAGCTGCAACAACAACCTCTCCCCTCCCTAAAAACGCCCCAGACCCCAAATCATGTCATTTTCACTGTGTCTTTTATACTGGAGATTAGAATCGCCTCTTTGTTGCTATGGAAACACTTGCGTGAAAGAAGACGACCTCATTATGAGTTACGATGAAATCTCCATCTCGGCGCCCAGCACCCTTGCAGCGGGGAGAGTGGGGCTGGGGGATCCGTGGCGGGGGGGTGGTAGGGCAGTCACCCCTTTTGCGCTGCTGCTCCAGAGTTTCCAGAGCTCGTGAGTCTTTTGCTCCAGGCTTGGCAGGCCAGAAACACCCTCTGCTCCTTGGGAATTGGCTCGGAAGCTGTGGCTGCATCACTTCTGTGCCCCGGCTGCATGTGCCCTTGCTCTGGGGTGTGTGTGGGGTGTCACTGCAGCAGGCAGCAGGGCCCCAACAGAATGCTGGATGAAAGGCTTGGGTATCGTGAGGGGTCGTCTTTGCTTTTGGTGCCTGCCAGGGCCCTGCCATCCACTCTGTGTGCTTTTCCCTCAAATCTGGGCTGCTGCCTCTGAACCCAAACTGTCCCTATAGCTGCGCCTCACTCTCAGCTTCATGCCCCATCCAAGCGTCCCGCTACCTCTGCTCACCCTGTGCCACCCCTGGCTCTTCATCTAGGTTTTCCTCCATCCCTCCCTTGACCCACAGTGCTCATTCTCCTCTCGAGCTCCTGTCGGCGTTTCCATGCCCTTGCTGCCCAGGTTCTCACGGCACACTGTCGCTGCCTGTCTTGAATTGCAACGAAAACTTAGGAAGCAACTTTTTTCTCCAAGTGAAAAAAATATCTGATAAGATTATCTTAGTTTTAGCCAAAGTTGTCTTCTTTTTTGGTGAAGGAAAGGGAGTTGGAACTTGGATATGCTTTGAAGGAAGAATGCTCTCTAAAAAGACCAAGTTTGGTTGAGGTGAGACTTTGGAGAGGTGACCCTCTATCCTTTTGTTAAGAGCATTATACAGTTTCTTTTCAGGTCATGTGCTGAGATAATCTGGGCTGTTATTAGTGTAGAGGGAGTGGTAATGACTTTATGTTCCCCTGAGAAGCTGTGGTGATTGGTGAGAAATGACCCTCCTGTCTCCGGTGTAAGTGCTGATGGCACTTCTCAGCTGCTCCATCATGTTAATGCCGGACAAACTAGTGGCCCAGCATGGAAGGTGTGCTGGATTCCCACTCTGGCATAAAGCTCCTCCATCCCTGATGCCTCCAGGCTGCAGGAGGGGGAGAGGCAGGACTTGTGCAGCAGGACATCAGGCAGGGGGGTCTCTGCGGCAGCCTGGGCCGGGCATGGAGCATGCCTGGGGGTCTGTGTTGCCCTGCTTTGCCAGAGCTGGCATTTGTTAAAAGGTGACCCTAAGAAAGTTTTTGCGAAAGTTTGCCCTTTCTGGGTATCAATTTCAGAGTATTTTGAGAAAGGCTGGAAAGAGGATAGTGTTTGCCAATGCTAACACAAACAAACAAACACGAAAAGCAGGCCTTTTTTTAATTTTTTTTTTTTGCTTTTTGCTTTTCATTACATTTTCCAAGCATGGAGCAGTCACATGTTGGTTTTGGTGTTCCTGATCTTGCTGGAGGAAATGTAGTGTGCTTGGTAAACAAGACGTGGCTGCTCCCAATGCAGCTCCTTTAAAGACAGCAATGCTGAATGTTTAGCAAAAACATTCCTTTTCATCTGCAATGCCCAGTAGTGAATGGACTTAAATGAATGTAACCATACCAATTTAACACTCTCCATCTTCCCCCATTGTCATTCTCTTGACTCTTGTAATACCATAATTTTGCTATTATTCGAGTCGATATAAACTCTTTTATTGTAGAGCAGTCCTGGATTTTTCTCCTAAAGAAAAGCAGCAAGGAAGCCAATTGCTGGTAACTCTTAATGCCTAAAGAAAATGACTCGAAACAATTCTAATCTAAAAAGCTTTACTATCTAAACTATCTGAGACTTCCTCATACCCTGTAAAGCAACAAAGGCACACATCCACTTCCTGGCTTCTTTGATGGTC